CGATTTTAATCGGCACTTCATTTTCACCTGACATTTCCAATTTAAGGCCATAAAAAGCAGAAACTCGCTGATTGTCAATGTTTTTTCTTAAAAGCTATAGCGGTGACTGGCGAAAGAAGAGAAAGGACCAACGCCCTTTATTTGAAACTAATGTCTTCTCGGTTGCAAAGTAATTATCCCTCTTATGTGTAAATCTTGAAATCTGTTTAGCCATCTCTTTCATGTAGGGAAGGTTTTTAAATTAGAAGTCTTAATAAATGGCAAAACTTGGTTAACTTACAGGGCAGCCTTATTTTAGCACAACTACTGGAAGCGAAACTTCTAATTGCGAGATCGTGGAGCAAAAAACAATCAAAAAATTAATATTATGCAAGAATAGCATATAATTCATTCATTGATTTGGCAAATTTTTAATTGTGTGATAACTTTGGATAGTGAATTTTGCCCGAACTCATAATGGCGTTTCAAAGTAGATAACAATAACAAAGAAATTTGAATTTTGGCAATTTCTTTTAACTCTTTTAACTAGCATGTTCAGAATTTAAATAAGTCATTCGTGCCCAAATTATGTTTATTTCTTTATGAGAGGCCCTTTTTATTTGGTGAATATTGAGGATCAGTGCAAAAAGATTAGGACTACTTCAGTTTCTACACGCTTAATATTGTCATTGTTTACTACTGCAAGTGTCTTTAAAATGTATTTGAAATGAGCGCCTCACAAACAAGCATTTGCTGCATTTGGCAGTGTGTAATAATTAGTAGATTTATTAGTCGCATATTCATAAATGGACACACAGCTTGAACCGCATGAATATTTATAGTTTAACAGCATACAAATTTATTTAGCAGCTCCGAGAGCAAAGGCTACTAACTTCTACAAGATAACGTTAGTAGATATTTTGGTACTTTGACTGTAGCGCCAAAATATTCCAAAGCTGGTGAGCCTTATAAGCCAAAGAACACTGTCTCTTAGCTGGTGCTCATGAGGCGGTTTCAAGGACTAAAACGTTCCTGTTTAGCAGTTTAATTTCAATTTGTTACCATGTTCTTAAATTTTGGTCAAATATACTTTTAAATTACTTCCTGAAAGCTTATAAAAAGTTCAGTAAGGATGCATGCAAGGTATATTCAGTAGTCAAACGAATTTCCACTGTTTGTTTAATAAATGAGTAAAAATGGAGTACAAACAGGAATAATTATTACTATTGTTATTATTATTAAGGAATACATACCTGATTTCTATAAAGCGGCGACAAATAATCCTTGGTTGGAGAGGTATATCTCTCGACACAAACACACACCGGTGAGTTCTGTTCAACAGTTGTACGGTTAAACTGATGTAATGTTTGTTTTCAGGAGGGGCATTCCCTATGCGACTAGTTTATCCGCCGGTGCCTAGTAACGGCACTGTAACTTACCCGGGTGTGAACCAGCTTGCTTGGAACTTGCACCTGCGTCAGGTGGCGTTAAATTTGATGACGCTACAAAGGCTGCAAGCGACAAGCAGCACGGAACCGAACTGCAGTACCACCTCGAGCACAAGCAAACAAAACTATCAAAGCATCAATAATTTGGAATATACAGAGCAAAATTTGCAAGAATGCGCAAAATGCAACAAATGTTTTAACAGCCCGTTATCACTAGAGGTACTTTTATTTTTTCTTATTCCGAGGGAATTTCAAAGTTCTGACTAAACTGAAAAATAATTTCTTGACAAAAAATCTGGACCATTGTTATTTATCACTATTTACACGCAGATTACAGATTCATTTAACTGAAAACCCATGTCTTCTCACACAAATTGTCAGTTAATTAAAATGTTGCAAAAAGAAGTAGAAATGAGAAAAAAGTGAAGATCACCTCCTCTTTATTTCAATTGCTCTATGCTCCCATATGATATGCAAATATCCTTTCTTGTGACTCCATCTTCCCAATTGATCGCAGTTAAGAATGATATGACTGCAACTGTTAGTAGACTTTATGTGGCGGCAGCGTGGTGTTTGGGCTCATGTTCCGTCATCGCCGTCCCGGTTGTGCTTGTTTTAAATTAAAAAAAGTGCGTTTGTTTTAGAGTGAGGAACACCTCTCACAAACGCGTTCGTAGCGGACTCAACGTTGCAAGAAATTAGGATTAAGGCTCCTAAAATTTGAGGTAAAAACTTGAATTGAATCTTCATATTCAAGCAGCACTGTTATTTTAGCAACACCTACGCGAACAACATAATCAGTTCTCGTCAACAAATGGTTTGGAGAAGCAGTTCGAGTGTAAGCAATGCGGTAAAACGTTTAAACGATCATCGACACTCAGCACACACCTGCTCATCCACAGCGACACAAGGCCTTATCCGTGCGATTACTGCGGCAAGCGATTTCATCAGAAATCCGATATGAAGAAGCACACCTACATTCATACTGGTCAGCTCTTACCGTGTTTAAACTGGGAAACTTATCTAATGTAATGTTTTCGAGCAAACGAAACAATCGTTTCCTGCTATCTTTTTCTGACAGCCAGCATTTAATAAGCAGTCGATATCGTCGTGTTAAAGAAACTGTTCATGAAACAGAATTAAATCGATTCAAATTTTCGCACACCAAAGAGCAACTCTACCAAAACACTGTTGAAAACAGAGAAATTACGGATTTTTTCTCTCCTAGTGATGGGTGGGAGGAAAGGAGATTGGAGAGAAAGGCAGAAAAGGGACGCAAAGTAATAATGTAAATAAGTCAGTCATTCAAGAAAGTACCGAAAATCAGTATGCAAATTAGATGAACTATCATTACACAAATGATAATTGTTGACTACTGCTTGTCCATTTTCATCAAAGCTTCTTGGAAATATTCCTTCATCTCTTTGTTCACCTAAACCGACTATATTCCTTTTCGATCAATGAGCAAACTGCGGACTCGTGAAAATGATCTCTGATTAGCGTATTAATTCTTAGAAATGAGCAATTTTTTGCAAAACTCAGTAGTTCGTGCGAAATCAATTCCAAAATTTCCATGATTTATGCGACATTTCGGTATCCTATTTGGCATGCAAATTCAATTGCAACTGCAACAGGCCGATCCATTCTTCTAAAAACAAATTAATTAAAACAGAATTGAATGGGCTACCAGGCATTCGTTCCCGCGAGCGCAGTTGTATATTGTTGTAAGCACTTTCAAGAAATTAAGAGTGGTAATTACCGAAATTATCCTTATTTATTGTTGACAAAAATCGCAGTCTCACAATTAATTCTGTCAATCAAAATTGCTTTAAAACTCTGGATTTGTTGAATTTCTGAGACGACATTAAGGATCATCATTTTTTGTACATAACTCTGTACAAAAAATGATGATTTTTTATGCTGCCTCAAAAATGCTTCTAGGCGAAACTTTTTGGACGAATTCGAGTGTACGGCAAATTTTGACATATATTTTGACGTTTTTTTCTTGTTTTTTTTCTTGTCTTTTTGAATTTTGTGATTATTTTTTTTTCAAAATGTGACTTCTTTTTAGCAAATAAGTCTGTACAGTAAGGCAACTTTCATCATAAAGTTAGGTAATTACGAAGGTGAGCCAGAATTTTTTCCATTCCGCTAGCAAAAAATGTATTTCATTAAGGGTATGAATTCACAGCTATATGGCTTTATGATAAGAATTCCTAATTTTTATGCGTTTTTGCTGTACAGTGCTATAACGCAGCTACAGCGAGACAAAATGCACATTGTCGAGAGGTGGCCTCTGTGTGTGTGTGTATTCGAAAGCAAGTGAACTTTGCCACTCACTTTCAACTCAGCAATCAAGAAAGCTGGGAAACTGAAATTTTGGGGTTTTAGCTTTCCGTCTTATTATACTAAAGTTATGCTAAAATGGGCGTGCTACAGTCTGAGTTAGAGTGGGGTTTAGAATTTGAGTTTAGATTGTCTGCTTCAAATTATTCATCTAAACAGCGCTTTGAAATTTTCAATTTGTGGCTTAAATTCATGATTTGTTTAGAATCTTCGATTATGCAGATCAGGATACAAAAAGAAATGTAATATGACTGTAACTTAAAAATCCATCGGATATGTTCGTAAAATTTTACCCCTCAACTTTTATAATTTTGTAATTGAATAGTTTAGACACAAACACTTGCATACGTGCACACTAGCTCCACAGAGTTCTTTCGGTTTGCACAAATTGGTTCATTTAAGGACAAACTAAAATTAATTATTCCAGGTGAGAAGCCTCACAAGTGTACGGTATGTGGTAAAGCTTTTTCGCAGTCATCCAATCTGATTACGCACACCCGAAAGCATACTGGCTATAAGCCGTTTGCATGTGACATCTGCGGCAGGACATTTCAGCGGAAGGTGGATCGTCGTAGACATCGCGAAAGCCATCATGCGGACGAAACTCGGGGTCATCGAGGTTTGTTACTTTCTTTGTTAAGCATTTTTGGATTATTTTCGTAAGCGAATATTTTGTCAGAACGGGAAGAATACTTTTTTCATTTGAAAATTATTAAGATTTATTAGCAAAGTGGTGCTTCTGTGGGATTCATTGTGTACTCTGGAGGTAGCGGCCCACGAGCAGTAGAATACAATGACACTAGCAGTGCCTGTACGCCGGGAAGTTACAAGGCTTATCATTCAGTTGCACTCATACATAATTAGCTTGTATTATAGTATACCAACTTGTCAGATGTGCCATTCAATGATCAGTTGATGTACCATAATATAACCTAGTTTGGTATGAATGCACTTTACATAGCCATTTTGCATGTGCGACTTTGCCACTTTAATTCTCAAAATGCCTCCGTTATTACTAAAAACAGGGACTGATCAATGTTTGGTAGAATTTTAGTGGGCTGTCTTGCAGAATAAGAAAAAGTGAATAAGCTACTGAAGTATGTTTAAGTTTCAGTGTTGCGCGACACAGCTGATCGAGGGTCTTCTCAGGAATATACAGATTTGGTAGGCCGCTCATCGCTGGAAATCCTGGACCGACTCAGACTACCGACAGCTACTGTACTAAATGCGAGGCCAGCTGGTTACCATTTACAGGCGCCTGACGAAGCACTGAATCTCAGTTCTAAATAATGACCACCGGTTTTAGGCCATTGTTTTTTTGGGAAACCTAATTTTGACAAAATTTCTTTTTTCTTCTTTTACGCCACATCCCTGAAATTAAAAATATTTAAATGCTCTACGGACTAGTTCCTTCTGAACAATCAATTTAACGTGCCGGTGCTTTATGTATACAAACCTTTTGATGTATTACGTTTGGCTGCATATTGTATCTATAACAGTAAGTAAAACTGCCAGTGATAATTTAAGTAATAACGCAAATTTGATTTATAGTTATAGAGTTAGTAACTGTAATAGTAGTAATAATTATCAGTGTACTCGGAAGAGCGGGGAATACCTGACCATGTATAGAGACCGCATTGCTGTCCGTTTCCACCACACTGCGGTTAGATAATTTTCCTGCATTTCAGTCACACTTTCGCCTCAGCTTGCTGTAGACACTCAGACGAACTGTCTTGGCACTTTTGGAGGCACAAAATGGCTTCGTTTTGCTGCTTTTGCCTTAAAAATAGCAGCATTACAAGAACATTTCAAAATTACCGGTCCGAAGCAACGATCTTTTCTTTCAATTGTTTTGCGCTTTCTATTTTTGTATATCGAGCATGTAGATAAACATTGCAGAACATTTGCATTCCATCATTCAAGACAGCAAATTTTACTATTATTTGATAGTAGGACTGTCAGGATAACTCCAAAACCCGGCTCAGGGTTTGAGCACTATTATCGTGGGCGGTACATGTTCCTTGCCTCCGGCTGCTCATTCTACGCTTGTATTTTATCTCAGCAGCGCTGTGAGAGGTAATTTTTTTGAATACCATGCACTGATATACCACATTCGCTAATTTTCAGCAAAGCAAAGGAACTTCTTTGTCAGCAAAATCCTGATAATAATATCCTGCGCGTCTCTCGCCTGACAAAACATTTGTTTGACTGAGATTATCAGGCTGTCTCCTTTTAAACAGGCCTCTTGACCTGTGTAAAAAGTAAAACTTAACTAATCGCTTAAGGCACTTTATTAGCATTGACTTTGACACAGATTTTACTATATGTACAGTGTTTGCTTGCTGCAAAAATCATTTGTAATTAAACTGCTGTTTGTAAAAATAAAGAGTTGAGATTTTTTTTAGGAAGAAGTCGGAGCTGGAAACTGAAGAGAAACGGAGGCAAGAGCAAAGTTTGACATGAGTTTATATGTTTACTCCTAAGGAATTTTT